ACATTGGTATAGAACAAGATGATGTTTTAGACTCTTAGGAGCATAGATACTAGGTCTTGAGTGTTTTTTTAAGCAGCCTTTTAAAATGCAAGAAGTTTTAAGGCTAAACAGTTGTTGGGTACACAATCCCAGAATTTGAGAAGCTGAGGTAAGGGGATTACAAGTTCAGGGCTATCCCAGGCTACATGGTAAGAACCTGTCTCAACAAAGGTTAGCCCTTGGCTGGTAGAAAGGTGACTAGTTAATCAAGCCATTTTCAGAGTTGTAGAGGTCTGGTGATGTGGCTCAGTGGTAAAACACATAGTATGCACGAGGCCCTTGCTTCTACCCCTAGCACTGCCCACCCAACCCCCAAATTGTTATGTTTGCATTTTGCACCATAGGAGATTGGCTGTATGCCATCAATAGGTAGATGCCACTGAGCTGTACCCCCAGCTTTTTGGTTTTTTTAAGCTTTATGTGTGTTAGTGTTTATTATACATGTGTTTATTATACATGTGTTTATTTCTATGCATGTAAATGCCTAGTGTCCTCTTGTACTGGAATGATAGACAGTTGTGAGTCGCCATGTAGGTCATGGGAATTGAACCCAGGTTCTCTATAAGAGCAAGTGTTCTTAACCACTGAGCCAGCTTTTCTAGATTCCCTCAATCCACCCCCCCCCTTTCATTTTGAGACAGTGTCTCTTAGTTCTTGAGCTCTGCCTAAACTCATATGGTAGCCTAGGTAGTCCTTGAACCAGTGATCTTCCCACCTTAGCCTCCCAGATAGCTGCTGATAATAAAACCTTCCAACTTTAAACCACTCATGGAGGCAGATACTGTTAGTCCCAACACTTAGGAGGCAGAAGCGGGTGAGTCTCTGAGTTTGGGGCTATCCTAGTTTACATAGGTGAGTTCTAGTCTAGCCTACATTGTGAGACCCTGTAGAAAGGGAAAAAATAAACAAGAACACAGCTTGTTTATTACTACATTTTATATTATTTGAATTAGTTGCTTCCACTTTGCAGAATAATTCAACTTGAAAAGAGGATAATTCTCAGTGTGTACTTAGGACTTAGTGTTACAGATATTAAATATGTTTGAAAAATATGCATGGGCTTGCTACTGAGTAAAGACAATTGTTGATAGACCTAATGACCTGAGTTCAGTCTCGGAGACCCATATGATGGAGAGAGACCACTCATGCAAGTTGTATGTAAATGGACATTTCCCTCCTGCCTCCCAGTTCCCAAATAATTGACTCAGAGGCTGAATATGAATTATAAATGCTCTGCTGATAACTCAAGCTTATTACTAACTAGCTCTTACATTTAAATCAATCCATCTTTATTAATCTATGCTTTGCCACTTGGTTCATGGCTTTACCTGTCTTCTAGCACATCTTGCTTCCTGGGCGACTGGCTGGCATTTACTCACTCCACCCTCCTTAACATGATTCTCAGTTGACTTTCCTGCCTAACTTCCTGTCTAGCTACTGGCCAGTCCAGCTTTTTATTAGCCAATGAGAGTAATACTTATAGTATAGAAAAGGGACACTGCAGCCATTGTCCTCTGACTCCCACATGTAACTTCTGCCCCTACACACACACACAGGATAAGTAATTTTTAAAAACAATGTTCAGTAAATGAAAGCCAATTGATAATATTCCAGTGTAAGAAACAAAATTTTAAATTAATGAAGAACCTAAACAGAACCTACAAAAAAAGTGTTTAAAAAACCCCAAAAAACAATGTTCAGTATTGTGATATACAGGCTTGTGACAGGTTAGAGTACATTCTACCTCGGGGATTCCTGAAAGTGTGTTGGGTGCTTGGAACAGAACTTCGCTTTACTTTCAGTGCCTATTTCTCAAAGAATTTTTTTTTTGGAAAGAGTTTTATTCATTGGCATGATTAAAGGCAGGTGTGGTGGGACATTCATTTAATACCAGCCCAGAGGCAGGTGGAACTCTCTGAGTTCTGAGTGAGTCTGCCGTGGTATGTTCTAGGCCAGCCAGGACCACAGAGAGAGAGACCCCCCCCCCCATCTCAAAAAAACACAAACAGAAGAATTTCAGCAATGAAGTGGTGGCACACACCTTAAGCCCCAATACTCAGGCAGAGGCCGTTAGATCTCTGTAAACTCTTGCTACAGAGCAAGCTCCAGAGCTATACAGAGAAAAACTCTGTCCAAGCTATAAGTATAGCTATGCAGATAAATGAATGAATGTAGTGGTAAGAAATTTAGGAATAGATAAAACTTTCATCTATATTAAACATATGATTCATGGTTATATATTTACTTACATTTAAAGCATTTTGTTTTATTTCTAGGATCCCGGGGGGCTTTCTGTGAAGTAAGACCAGATGATAAAAGGATTCTGGAATTTTACAGCAAGTTGGGCTGTTTTGAAATTGCAAAGATGGAAGGATTTCCAAAGGATGTGGTTATACTTGGTCGGAGCCTGTGACCTTGGTTGTGTCCAGAGTCTCTTAACCCCACCTTGTGGTTGGTGGTTGGGGTCTCCACACAGTTCAGTCTCTGGAGCGGCAACAGATTGGCCAGTTGAATTGGAAACAAAGACGACTGTACAACTCACCATCCATGTTCACACTCACTGGTTGGAAGATAGTACTGCTGCGTATCCTGTGGGAAACATGGTGGGCCCCTCCTTTGGGTCTTGGGTTAGGTGTCAGGACTCTTATGGGGCTCTGTAGGGAAGAGGGTCTTAATAAATGTAGTCAGCACTATTTTCTGCATCCAGTGTGGTTGCATTTCTCACCTAAGAGCAATGAAGATCACTCTTTGTTCTCCTTGGTGCTGAATGAACTGTCTCTGTTCTTTGGAGACATGGCAGGAATGACAAAGAATTACTGGGGTTCCAATTTGGCAATTTTTCTGCTTTTTGTAAAGCTCTGGCAGTTACTATGTCCTGTAATGTTGGTTCAAGCAGGCGTGCTTTGTAGGGACAAATGTGCATTTGTTTGTGGCAAAGGCCTAAATTGACAAACTTGTAAATTTCTTTGTATATAGATTATAGCTGTAACCTGACTGTTCTTTTTGTTTACTGTTTTTATATTTTTTTTCCTTTGAAAATGAAAGGTGTTGGTGTAGGATGGCACTTTGAATAATGTAAACCAGTGGATGGTAGATCTCCTTTACATTTGTCTTTAAAGTGCCTCCCACATAGGGATAGGCCATGAGTGTCTAGCTTTATAGGACTAAAATCTATTGGGAAGTGCATTACTTCTGGAGATTAACCTTCAAAACAGATCCGCATGTGAAATGTTCTGACATTGTTGTCAAGGGTAAGTAAAGGGACCAACTCATGGTCTCTTCTGCCCTTAGAAGACACTTGTCATTTTATCTCAAGACCTGTTAACTACTGGTTTAATTGAATTGGTCTTTAATTCTTGCATGTTTGTATCTATTTTTAAAAGAAAGGATAAGTATATGTTAACCATAAGTATACTTTTTCTTTTACTCGGAGGTTCTGAAAACTTCATGTATTTTAATTTAGACTTGGTGAATTTAAGGGTTTGAGCATGAAGCTGGCAGATGGTCTCTGCAGGTTGTTTTTTTAAATCATGGCTAGCTAGTGTCTTCTGTAGATTTCAACAGTATTTTGTTATCTTCCCTCTAGTTTTTCATCAACTTTTCAACTCTGAGCTGAGGGGAGAAAGAAAGAAAAGGAAACTTGAACATTTACTTTTATAGAACTCCAGTGTGAGCTTTTGAAATAGTCTTAAATTTAGCACTATATCTAGTGTACCTAGTGACTTCCAACTGAGGCCCAGGAGGAGAGAGTGCTTACTTAGAAGCCTCTTAGGGTAAAAACCTAACTGTGATAGGCTGTGTTGGAAAACTGAAATCAAGTCTAGTTTTGAAGGCTGAGGTGAAGGTCAAAAACAAGATACTAAGACCATTTAATGTTCTTCACCTTTCTCTGAGCACAGCCCATACCTTAGTGGGAATTACAGCCTTTTATTTGGAGGGTTTCAGAGCCAGTTTCATATGGAATCAGGAATATTAAACAAGTTGCTTTTTGTTTTCGTGTTGGCTTCCAATAATCACTTTGAATGATCTGAACACACCTGGAACATGTCCAGGTTTATACCATCATCGCTCTAGGATAAACTGCTGTGCCAACTTCCATGGTTATGAATATTAAGGTTGGAATAACATTGCATTGATTGAATCACAGCTCAGTTTCTGTAGAAAACGAACTGTAATACTATCTGAAGACCATGCAAGAGGCAAAATAAAACTTGAAGTGAATCGGTGTGGTAGTGTGCCTTTGCTCTGTTCCGTTCTGTCTCCTGATGCCTCACTAACGCAGTGTAGCCTGGATTCTGAAGACAGCGCTTCCCTCCTGCCTTCTTCAGCAAAGAACTAACTTCAGGTTTTTCTCAGAAAAGTCCTTTTGTCTTTAAGTTGCCCTCTTACTACAGTTAAAATCTGTGAAGTCGATGGACTAATGAGTTTCTCTGAGGGAGTGCCGAGTTGTTCTCCTTAACGGGGGGTGGGGGGGGAGTGGGGGTAGCCTAAGTTATGTGAGAATGCTAAGGAGAAGGATGAGCCTCAGCTGATGGGAAATGGGGGCTTGAGGGCGGCTCTGATCGGAACGGCCTCCACCGCGAACAGGAAGCTTACCTGAGGGGTGGCTATCACGGCAAAGGTGTGGGTGGGAATCCCTGAGGGAGGTGAAGATGGCTGCTCTGAACCACAACTTTTCTGAAAGAGCGTGTACGAAAGGTGTATCACACTTACGTCGCTACGTAACACCTCCGGGTGGAAGAAAGGGGCTCTGAATGGGATGAGCTAGGGAAAGCCAGTCCTCGGGACCGTGGGGACGAGAGGACGCGTCCTGTGCCTCCCTGGAGATTTCCTCCTAACTGTCCTTGCCGAAGCGGCGACGGCTGCTCTCGCCTCGCTGCGCGCGGCTCCTTTAATGGGCGGGGCCGGAACTGGCCGAGGTGCGCGTTCGGTGCGTGGGGGGGCGGGGCTTCCCACGGCCGTTTCAGCATGGCCGCCGGCGCTGCTGCTGCTGCTTTAGCGTTCTTGAATCAGGAGAGCCGAGCCCGGGCTGGCGGCGTGGGAGGCCTGCGCGTCCCGGCTCCCGTCACGATGGACAGTTTCTTCTTCGGTACTGAAGACTCGGGTGGCTGAGGGTGGCCCGGGCGAGGGAGACGTTGGGCTGAGCATCGCGGCTGGGACGTGGGTGTGGGCCGAGGCCCCTCGCTTTCCTTCACCCCGCCGGCCCCTCCGCGGCCTCCGCCCGCCCAGGTGTTTCAGGGAAGGACGTTTGGCGAACAAATGGCGGGTCAGCCCGCGGCGGCGCATGACCGGGCGGGAGGGTTCAGCGGGGACACACGCTGTCCCCTCCACGCGTGCACCTCTCACGCGAACGCATTGACTCTGGCAGGTTGTGAGCTTTCCGGCCACACCCGCTCCTTCACTTTCAAGGTTGAGGAAGAGGAGGATACGGAACACATGCTGGCATTGAACATGGTAAGGGGCTGGAGATGCAGGAAGCTAGGGGACATCAGCGTGTCCTCCCTCTCCCCCACTCCCCTGGGTTGGGAGTCACTTATGGCTACCCTCAACGGGCTGCTTCTCTGATCCCCTCGCCGCGTCCCCCTGAGTCCGGAGAGATGTTAGGGTAAGATGTCTTCGCTGCGCTGTCGGCCCCCTTTTGACGCCCTGAGGTTCTGTGTGCCCTCCCAGCTCTGCCTTACCGAGGGGGCCAAGGACGAGTGCAATGTGGTGGAAGTTGTGGCCCGCGATCGCGACAACCAGGAGATTGCAGTTCCTGTGGCCAATCTCAGGTTATCTTGCCAGCCCATGGTGAGTTGTGGCCATCCATTCATTGAAGTACGGTGGGACATAATTGAGAACTTCAGTATCAATCTCAAGATGGGTGGGCCAGAGTGATCCAGGCCTTCATTCTTGTCTTCCAGCTCAGTCTGGATGACTTCCAGCTCCAGCCACCCGTAACCTTCCGCCTGAAGTCCGGTTCTGGTCCTGTGCGCATCACTGGTCGGCATCGGATTGGTGAGAAGATTGCCCCCATGGGCCCCGCCCTTTTTCTCCACTAGTGCATCCTGTATCCCAGATTGTGGCTTCTGTATTATGTGCCTTTCACTGCCCCTCTCAAGCCTGTGAACTCCTGGTAACCGGTCCTAGGTGCCACAGCCCCATGACGTGGGCAGGTTCTTTTTTTCTTCTTTGGTTTAGTATCTAACCTCCTTCAGATCTAGACTGATGAACTCTGGAAGAAGGGGTTCCTGTGAGCCTGGCACTACAGGGAATTGAATAAGGCATGTGGTGTAGGGATGGTTGGCTCTAACCTTACGTCTGTACTGTGTCTCCACCAGTTTGTATAAACAATGATCTCTCTGAAGAAAGTGAGGATGAGGAGAGTGAAGACGGGGAAGTTAAGCTGTGTGGCATCCTTCCGGCCAAAAAGCACAGGGCCAGGCCCTAGCCCTCTGTGGTGAGTAGGAGGGGAAATGGGAAGTTAAGGGAGGAGGTGAGGGCTCAGACACTGACTTCTTACTTGCTTTTCTCAGGTTAGGTTGCTGCTTGCTACAGGTGTCGTGCACCGGATGCTCCTGGACACGTTTCTAGAATTGTGAATGTTTTCTCCTGTTGAAGAGGAGAGTTGGGAGGGGGCAAGTGGGACTAGCTCGGACTGGTGCTCACAGAGCTGGCATTCTCCATAGGGCCCTGTGTTTGTTCCTACAGGTTGCCTGAAGCTTCCTTTTTCTATTGGGGTGGGATGACCTTTGAACATCTCTCCTGACCTCTCCTCCAAACCTGCCCAGATAGAAAGTTGTGAACCCAAAGGTTCAGTTCTCAACACTGCAAAAAAAAAAAAAAAAAAAAAAAAAAAAGTTCAGAACAACATGTTTTTAACGCTTTTTACATTTTTAGATAAAGATCTAAATAAAGAGGTGTGTGGTTTTTTTTTTTTGCAGTTCTGTGTCTTTTTCCAACCGTGAGATTTCCCTAGGGACCACCAGGTGGCACTGTGGCAGCACAAAGTGGTCCTAGCTCTAGGGCTGGTGAAAAAATGGCCTGCCATTCCCCAGGGCCTTGGGGCCAAAAGCCGGACCAAGTCCCTTCTGCCTTGCCCCAGAGGGACCTCCCATTCCAGCCTCTTCGGTGTTCTGCAGGTGGGGGAGGGCCATCGCAGGAGGTTATCAGCTTCCAAACAAGGGGTCTGGGCCTCTGTCAGCACTCAGGCTGATGGGCAGAGAGGGACAGATAAGTGGGCTTAAGAAACCTGAGGAATGTGCATCCCTAGCCCCATGAGGGGCTCAGCCCAGAGAGAGGGCCTGTGAGGGGTGGGGTGGGGACCTGTCTTGGCTCTTCTGGTCTCTGAGGCAGGTTGAGTAGAGCAGGGTCCTTAGAAACCTGATTCCCAGGGCCAGATGGAGGGAACTGGCCAGATTGGGTGACAGGGAAACCAGAATCCGGGTGGCCTGGCATATGGGGGCAGAAGGGAGTTCATGGGAATCAGATGCCTGGCTGAGGGGTTATTACCTCCCAGCACTCCACTCCACTGTCTGCTCCGGGTGTTTGAGGACTGGCTACTGCTATGCCAGGCAGAGAAAGGGGGATCACTTGTTTGTGGACCATGTGCACCCAGCTCTGGGGTCAGCGGTTCAGCTGTGTTGGGGGGGGGGAGGGGGAATCAATGTCCTACAAACAAACAAAAAGATTACTTCCCCAAGACAGGCTGAAGACGGACAGAGAACAGGGCCTGAGAGGATCAGGCCAGTTCACAACAAGTAGGGGCCTCTCAGTAATACAAAGAGGCTGGGTTGGGGGCAGATGGTCGACTTCGAGTGTCCACCAGGGTACAGAAAGGTAGCGCATGTAAAACTTGGGAAACTGAAACAGGAAAACTGGGAGTTGGAGGCCAGGGGTAGGAGTTAGGAGGAGAGGGAAGTGGTACCTCTTGGTCCTACAAGTTCCCCTTGTCTATGTTATGAGTTAGATGTAAATGGAAGGCAAAAGACGCCCTTTTGGGATCAGGGTCTCCAGCTTCAGGTGTTCCACCAACGACCCCGCTATGAGCCATTCATGGAGAGTCTCAAACTGGAGCGGATGGCGAAGCTAGCGCCCTCTGGTGGCCGTGCTTAAAACTGCTTGTGGTAACGCTCCCTAGGGGCTAACTATCGTTAAATTGAAGTTGGGACTAAGTCACAAAGTTTCGAATGCGTATACTCTTTCATTCACACGAAACACTCTAGAAGAGTGCTAGAAGAGTTGGTTGATGGTAACCCATTCTACTTCCTTTCGGCTCCTTCCTCCAACCCCTGGGTACGTGCCTAAGTGCAGAGACAAGCCATCACTCGGCTACCTCTTGCTCATACTCCCCCACCATCAGTGTCTACCCCCTGTGACTCCGCTGATCGCCCATTGTATTTCTCGCCTGTTTTCCCAGTGGGTCTCCCGGCGGGTGAACTACGAGCAGGGTCCTGCCCGCAGTGGGAGCCCAATCCACATTTGCCTTCTAGTTCAGGAGTCTCCGGGCCCCTTGTGGCGCGGTGCAGACAGACTTGGGAATTGTTTTTCCCTCCTTCCAGATCACACCTTTTCAGGATACCCCTTTTCTGCACTCTGAGCACACAACAGGAGTGCTGCCAATTCTCTGGCCTCAGACAGCTGGTGGGATGTAAGCATAGGATGGTGTCTGGAGAATGCTGAAAGGGGCCACACGGTATTTATTGGGAGAGCGGCACCAGGAACGGTGACTCTTGGTGCAAATGCAGTTAGCCGGGATTTGCATTTGAACCGGCCGCACAGATTCTGCAGCACTTTGAACGCTGAGCACTGGAGGCGTGAGTCGCTTTAACCTTCAGGCGTGGTGGCCTGGGCGTGGATTTGAGGGGCCTGTGGCCAGGCCAGGGGTGCGTTTGGGTCCTGGGGAGCGCATGTTTGCATAGAGGGCCGTTTGTGTTGGCAAAGAGTGTGTGTTTGTGTTTGCAGGAGGGAGTGTGTGCATGTGTGTGTTTGTGTTTGCGGAGTGTGGGGGCGGTCGGGAAAGGTGGCCAGGCTGTCACTCAGAGATCAGGATGACAGGAGCTCCCTCATCTAGGCGCGGGAGCTCTGATTGCAGATTCAAGGAAACAAAATAGCAATTGTAATTACGGGGCTTTGATAAGATAAAGGAAGGAGGGAGCTGGCCGGGAGGCAGGCTAGCAAGGGTGGGAGGGAGAGTGGTCTGCAGGAGCCCTGTGAAACATTTGCATCTGTCAGTCACTGCCTGCTCTGGGTGACAACTGTCGGGGAGACCCGTCTGTCCCTGCCCCCCAAGACAGAATTTTGGGGAGAAGAGAATTCTGAAGATTTGGGTGATGCTCCATCCAGTTCCTAGGACTTTTCACATGTAAAAGAATTTGGTCTCTCAGAGGTGGGAGGCAGAAATAGAAAGTAGGAATAAAACCCTGACCTGGGACCCTTCTCTGGGGGTGGGGGCGGGTGCTGGTGTCTGCTGAGGGAGAGGGAAGTGACATTGTGGATGATGGAGGACACACAAACATAATGCCAGTCAGATGCTCCATGCTGTACACACACCCTGGGACCTGGGACCTAAGCTCTGCTGACAGCCTGGTGTCACGCTTATTTTCAGAGGGCTGTATTCATAGTGGGGAAAGGAGCCTTCCTTCTCAGGAGGAGTCTATCCTTTGCCTTCCATTTGTTTAGGCATTCACTCATTAACACATTCAAAAATAAACACTCTCGAGGGCCACTTATTCCAAGCACATGAAGTAAAGTCAGTGAGCAAACAGGCATCACCTGGGCCAGTTTGGAGCACCACAAAAAGGGGGCAGACAAGTCATCCCGAAGGCCCCTTGGCAAAGCACACAGCTAAAGGAAGGGGCTGGCCTTCATTATGGACACTGGAGCCCCTCAGACCGATTTCCCTTTCGTGGACTTACTTCCCAGTGATTTGAAAGCAGCTATTGCCTGCCAAATCATTGCCAGACACAAATGTGCAATAACTGGTCCGCCTGGCTATCATCTGTTGGCAAGTGAAGCCAAGTCCCCCTGGGAAAGTCACCATGGGTGGAATGCAGTCTAAATGCTCAACAAGGTCCCCGTCCATCCACCCAACAAACCCTCACAGCCTGCACAGCGACTCTGCGGGCTCTACCGTGAGGTACAAGTCCTGGGCTGGGAAGTCCCTTGCCTTCAGGTCTGTGGGGCTCAGAATTCCTGAAGGCGATGACAAAAATGACCTCGGGAAGTCTACTCTGAGGAGGGCTAAGAGGGACTCCCTGCCATCCGCCCTACATATCACCGAGTGCTTGCAGGGCTGAGCCAGACTCCCTTCTGTACATTGCTCAGCACTTGCATTTGCAGCTGGGAGTGGGCAAAGATGGGTCAGAAAAGGGAGGGGCGGGCAGAACTGGGGTGTGTTGATTGACAAGGACCTGCTTGCCTCCCTCTGGCCGCTGAAGGCTTCCTAGGGCCACCAGAACCTCTAGCTCTACCCCAGAAGCACAGAGGCCCAGTAGAGAGTAGGCTGTGATGAAGGCAGCAGCTGGGTGGACATCAATGACTCCACCTGGCCCAGGACCTCTCTGCCTACCCAGGTTGTGCCCACAGAAACAAAGTAGTGGCCCAGGGTCTCCAGAAACACTAAGAAAGCATGAGGCGAGGGGCTGGGAAAGGCTTACCAGCGGCTTACCTCCTCACCAGCACCACCCTCCCCATCCAACACAAGACACCAGATACCTGTTCAAGAAAAACATCATGGAACTCAGAGGGGAAAGGCTAGGGAGCTTGGGTCCAAGTCCTGGCCCTCAGGTAGAGTTGCTGAATGTAGTTATTTTTGCCCGCGCTAATTGCTCGGTTTTAGAAGGGGGCAGTGACTGTGGGTCCTGCAGGGACCTCTGAGCTCCTACCACATGCCTCACGGTTCTTTTCACGCTTCATGCTAGTGGGGGGTGGGGTGGGGATGGATGGGGGCAAGGTTGACGGTGATAATAGGGTGTCGGGAGCCATTTCTCCCTCCCAGGGCCTCCTTGGAGACTGTGAGACACAAACTCGGCAGGCTGGATTCTTAGAAAGGTGGAGGAGCGGGTTCTTGCGATGCACAAGGGACGCTTTGCACTGGGGCCCAGAGCACAGCTATTATTCCACTGTTAGCTGCGCCTTCCATAAGGGGACAAGTGCGGCCGAAGCGTAGGCGAGGAGGCCAGATGCAGAAGTAGACCCGGCCCCACGTGGAGAGACGGCCCTGCCGGACTCCAGCGCACCGGACCCCACCAAACACGCTGTCCCAGGTGCCCCCCACCCCCGGGCCACCCCGCCCCAGAAACACTGGAGGAGACAGGCTAGGGTAGTGGGAGGTGCCCACACCGGCCGCCCCCGCCCCTCCCGCGGGTCCCCAGACCCCTCCCCTGGGCCAGACCCCCAATCCCAGCCCTGCCCGCCGCCCCGCCCCGGGCCGCCCCGCCCCCGCCCCGGGCGGCGACCCGGCCCCAGCGCCCAGCCGGGGGTGCGGGCTTCGGCCGCCCGCCCCGCACTCCCCCCTCGCGGCCGGTGCGGCGCCCCCCGCCCCTGCCCTCCCCCCTCCCTCCCCACCTCCCCACCCACCCCCGCCGGCCCGTTACCCTCCCGCCTGCTCCGGCCCCTGAGCAGCCAGCGGCCACCGGCTCCGCCAGCGGCGCAGAGCGGACCAGCGCGCGCGGCGAGCACGACATTCCACGGGACCCGCCGGGCCGCGTCGGCATCGTCGCTGGGCTCCCGCGCCCCGACCTTCCTCGGCCTCCGCCCCTTCGGCTCGTCCCCCCGCGGCCTCCCGTGGGACGGCGTGACCCCGCCCGGGCTCTGGTGCTCCCGGGGCCGCGCGCCATGGGCAGCCCCCGCTCCGCGCTGAGCTGCCTGTGAGTACCGCGGTCCACCCCGCGTCCCCGTCGGCCGGCGCCCGCCGCGCCTTCTCCGCTCACCCCGCGCCTCTCTCCTGCCCGCTTTTGTCTCCCACAGGCTGTTGCACTTGCTGGTTCTCTGCCTCCAAGCCCAGGTAAGGAGCGCTGCGCAGAGGCGGGGGCCGGGCGCGGGGGACCCAGCTGACACTGTCGGGCAGGGACACGAGGACCGACCCTTCGGCCAGCGCAGCAGGGCTGGAAAGAACCTTACAAATCCAGCCCCAAACTACCCCGAGGAGGGATCTAAGGAACAGAGAGACAGTGTCCTGCCTAAAGTCACACAGCGAGTGAGTGGGGGGACTAGAACCCCAGGGTCTTGAGCCCAGCGAGTCTCAAGCGCGTGCCAGCCAGGTCGGGCGGATGGGAACTTTACCTGTAGCCACACCTGGCCTCCTAGGAAGGCGGGAGCTGGAGCCAGCGGGTGTTCCTTGTCAGGGGAAGCTGGGAAGCAGTTGCAGCAAAGATCCTCTCCGCTGCTTCCAGGGGAGACTTGTGGCCGGTTCCAGCCAACGATCGTGTTAGTCTAGGCCCTTTGCACTCTCAACATTTGCTCCGTAAATTTGTCTTTATAAATGTCACGGGTCGGGTAGCGTTGCCTCGCTACTTAAAAGCACCCTGCTCCTCTAGGAAGGCCCGGGCGGGGGGCCTGCGCTGGGCAGGGAGCCCGCTTCCCTGCTCCGAGCTGGCCGGGAGCCCCAGGGTGTTTCCCAACAGGTGGGTCCAGATTCTCCCTCATTCCGGGTTCATCCATCCTGGGCTGGGTCTGTGCGACTTCCCCGCGGGGGTTGGTGGCCTGAGCCAGCATGTTGGGGGGATGCCCCCAGTCCCTGCTGGCTGCCTGGCGCGGCGGGAGGTGGGCGCGAGGGCAGTGGGGACCACTCGGGACCCCTGGGCGGAGTAGCATTATAATGGCGTGCTGTGTATTTTTCAATTTCCTAAAGGTAACTGTTCAGTCCTCACCTAATTTTACACAGCATGTGAGGGAGCAGAGCCTGGTGACGGATCAGCTCAGCCGCCGCCTCATCCGGACCTACCAGCTCTACAGCCGCACCAGCGGGAAGCACGTGCAGGTCTTGGCCAACAAGCGCATCAACGCCATGGCAGAAGACGGAGACCCCTTCGGTAAGGCGCGTTCCCGGGAGCCTGGGGAGGGAAGGTAGTGGTGGACCTCGTCGCTCCTCCTCCAGCCCCGGCTGCAGTGGCGAGAGAGACCTGCAAGCTCCCCAGCTGAGAAGGGAAGGACTTAAGGCAAAAAGGTCCCTTGAGGGTCAGCTGGAGAGAATGGGAGGGAAGGGACCCTGGGGAGGATGTGGCCCACAGGTACCCTCTCTTCCCTACTCCGCAAATGAACGAATCCAGGGGTCTCCCTCACAACCTCCCCTCTTCAAACACCTCTTTCCAGCTGCAGGTGGAGGCAGAGGGTCAGGGGAGGGGGCCCAGATTTAAGGGAAGTTCTTGAAAGAGGATATGTCGCCAGAGCCCACAAAAGGAGAGTGGGAAAAAGAAGGCTCAGAAAGCCCCATTGGCCCCGTTTGGAAAGCAGGATGCTGCAAACTGATCAGTGAGGTCAATTGCACGGCGACGCTAGGCCTGGAAGTCAGACTCCCGGCTCCGCTTGTGGATACCCCAGGGGGCTGAGTTGGCTGGCGGCTCCCCGTAGGGTTGCTGAGTACAGGGAGCTATTGGGGCAGGGGGGGGGGGGCTGAGGACTGACTGACTTCCAGAACATTCAATATTCCTGTCTTGAGATGGGGCCAATTTCCAGAGTCCCGGATGGACCACGAGGAAGGCAAACCCTCTGGGTAGCTGGTGTTGTTTTTAGAGAGTGATTATTGTGAATTTAAAACCCCTTAAATAATGACCAACTTAAACAAGCTTGAAAGGAGAAAGGAAGACTCTATTAAAGTGTAATAAAAAGGTGAGGCATTTTAAGAAGAAAATGAAGAATGGTATAAAGCAGAAAAAGAACCAGGCTTTTTTTTATTTTTTTTCTTCAGATGTAGAGTTTAAAAGGACTTGCAAGTCTGTAAATGTTAAAAAAAAAAGGGGGGGGGCTAAAGATTGTTCTCTGGGAATCTCAGGAGAGACCCCTGCGTCTGGCAGAGCGATTAAAACTCTTCTTGCTTTCACCTTTTTTAACATTTCCTGAATACTTTCTCCTCTTCTCCAGCCAGTTTGGGGGATCGAGCATGTCTCGCTGCATTTTTTCAGCATCGACGTAGCTGACTTCCCTTCAAAGCTGGAGGAGGAGACATAATTTTCCTGGGATAAATCTGTCACTGGGGTGGAAGAAGAGGTTTGAAAATGTTCAGCTTTCCAAAAGCCTGGTTGGGAAAGCCATTGTAAATTGCAGGGCCAGACTCCCCAGATCAGTCCAAGGAGAGTGGGGGCTCTTTGGGTGGGGGTGGGGGGCAGCCTGCCCGGTGGCCGAGCTCTCCCGCTGGGCTGGCAGAGCCGGCCTTCAGGCCCTTTGTCCCTCCAAATTGGCTGCTTGCTGCCTGTCTCAGCTTCCCAACAAGAAAAAAAAGAATGACTGGCCCCTCCAGAGTCCACTCTACTGGAGCAAATGGCCTAGCATCCTTGGGTTTTGGGGTGGGAAGGGGAGGCCTAGCTGGCAGTGATGGAATTGGTATTCAGGCATCAGAAGAGAGCTGATGCCCACTCACTTCCCTCAGACCCAGAGGAGGATGCCAGGGTTCCTTGGTCTCTGCCTGCAGGGTATAAGTTTGAGTCTAGGGCTCCAAACACAGGAATAAGGTATACAGAGTCTGGGGAGCGATGGAGAGGTCCCTAGAAAAAAAGGGACAGAGGTACCCACTCTGTCATATGATGCTGGGCTGGAATCTTCAGAGCAGGGTCCTCTCACCCCTTCCCGAGCACATCCTTCCCTGGTCACCAAGCAACTGCTTCTTGCTCTACCAAGCAGGCATGTGAGTAATGAACAGATTGACTGGGTCTGAGGAGAGGTGAGCAGGAGGAGAGGTGAACAGTTGCATTTCCCAGATTGGTGACTCCTGGGTCCCAATCTTGTGCCAATGTGAAGAGAGGGGGAATTAGAGGCTAGGCCGTATGAGGACTTCATTGACGACTCCTATGTCCCCACCCTGGTGTTGGAGACAGAATTGCTTTCTCAAAGAGGAAAAGGGCTGGGGTCTAGCAGGGAGAGCAGGCGGCCCAAGAAGGGGAAATAGAGTAGGGCACAGAATTCTATCACCTCTGAAGGCGTTTGGCCATTGCCTAAGAAGCCCGGCTGTAGTGGAGGCTATGAGAGTTGTTGGTGTCTACGTGTGGGCGGGGCTGGCTTCTGATGGCTGGGAAGCTTAGGGAAAGGGGCAGGATCCTCCTGGCTGGTGTCTGGGTCCAGAAAGCTGTTTGCTAAAACAGAGGTGCTGGGAGGAACCTCTTCTAAGACCGCACGGGCATGCACACTCTCAAGAATGTGTGCGTGCGAGCGTGTGTGCGCGCGTGCGCACACGCAGAGGTCAGAAGAGGATGGTGGATCCCCTGGAGTCGCAGGCTGTGTGGGTCTTGAGAAGTGAACTCCTGTCCTCAACAACAGCAAAAGGCGAAGCCATTTCTCCAGCCGCTTTGTCTGCCAAATCTTGAAGAGCAGGGTTGCTAGAACTGAAGGGCCAGGAACAGAAAGGATAGTTTTTTTTTTACCTTTAGCCTCATGGTGGGAGGTCACCACTGTTCCCAGATGTTCTTAATGATCTGTGGGGCATGAGCTCATGATAGTCTTAGTTGGGAAGATATTCAGAGAGCTCTTGAGTTAGCTATGGAATCTACATAAGTGAAATTTTACTTGGTACCTCAACCTAATAATATGGCTTCTAATTTGAAAAGAGAGCTAAAGGTATGAAGATTCGGGCTTCTCAATTTGATACATCCAAACAGTTCTATGAAACTCGGCTTGTAAACTGTGGTCTGTCCTAGCCCCTTCATAAGTCCAGAGGTGAAGTCTCTGGTCCTGAAAAGAGAGTTGATCTTCCTTAGGGCTGCTGGGGGCATCAGTGGGCTGGAGCCAGAGCCTGCTTTCTATTCCTAGCCCTTGGAGCAGTTGTTCTAGGGTTGGGACACAGCTCTGGGCCAGCCAACTGGGGTAAAGCTGTGGAATACAGGTTACAGATTTAGTCACCATCCCATAACCTCCCTGACAGCAAAGCTCATTGTGGAGACGGATACTTTTGGAAGCAGAGTTCGAGTCCGTGGAGCAGAGACAGGTCTCTACATCTGTATGAACAAGAAGGGGAAGCTAATTGCCAAGGTGAGGTTCCAGAAGGGAAGTGAGGCTTGAGGAGGGATGAACTGCCTGAACCTCTGTAGTACACTTTAATCTCAACAAGGTGGGTGAGAGGCAGGGTAGCTTGGTTACCTTAGGGTTTGTCTAATGATTAGATGGAGGAGTAAGAGAGAAGTAAAAAGCCAAGAGAGAGGAAAACCTACGAACACGAAGGCCAGGAAAAGGGTTGGGGGTGGTGATGGCAAATTCCATATATCTTTTTAACAAATCGCCAAATTGCTTTGCTATTATGTCCAATTACATGGTACCAGCATTTGGAATGTTCAGTAAGCCGCAGGCCCAGCCCCTCGGCCTAGCTCTGAAATGGCCCCATTAGTCACGGCTCCTCTCCAGCCTCAAGCTCCGCGCTCCTAGGCATCAGGGCTTGGGCCTCCTAGTCCCTCCCAGGCCTCCCCTCCCCCGCATAGGGTGGCTGTCCTGGGGGCTGATCCTCAGCCCCGAGATGCTGAGAGGGGCAGGTGGAGAAACTGCGGGCAGGCCAGGCCAGACTGGTGGGCAGTAGGCCAGATCAGGCAGGCTTTGGGCCCCTCTGCCTCGGGCCCAACCCCTCCGTAGACAGCCATGTGTCACTGCTGCCCAGGAGGACAGGAAGTTGCCGGGTGGGCTGCGGGTTGTGAGGGATTAGAGAGCGGGTGCCCGGGTAGGGGGTGGGGCCGGGCTCGGGCTCCCCTCGCCATCTGCTGGGGTGCCCACCTGCTGTCTGGGGCCGCTGTCCCTCTGTCTCACATGGAGGGAGGCTCCATAACACCACGTCTGTGTCGTGTGCTCCCCCCCCCCCCAAACTACCTGCAGAGCAACGGCAAAGGCAAGGACTGCGTGTTCACCGAGATCGTGCTGGAGAACAACTACACGGCGCTGCAGAACGCCAAGTACGAGGGCTGGTACATGGCCTTTACCCGCAAGGGCCGGCCCCGCAAGGGCTCCAAGACGCGCCAGCACCAGCGCGAGGTGCACTTCATGAAGCGGCTGCCGCGGGGCCACCACACCACCGAGCAGAGTCTGCGCTTCGAGTTCCTCAACTACCCGCCCTTCACGCGCAGCCTGCGGGGCAGCCAGAGGACTTGGGCCCTGGAGCCCCGATAGGCGCCCTCCCGGCCCCTCCCTGTGCCGCCCGCCGGCTGCGGACTCCAGCGAGGAGAGATCAATGGGCGCCACTGCGAAAGGGAGGAGCTGGGGAGCTGCCTTCTAGTTGTGGATATTGTTTGCTGTTGGGTTTTTGTTTTTGTTTTTTAACAAAAGAGAGGTTCTATTTTTGTATTCCACTTTCTGTGGTGTCTGTCTTCTTAACTCTCAGCAAAGCCCCTTGGTGACCGGAGGCAGGGTTCCCTTGGACCTCCCCAGGGTGGGTGGAGGGCTCTCCAGTCTGGCAGATGATGTCCTGAGATCTCAGCACTAGCAGGATACCTGACCTGGTCAGCCAGGGCCACTCTGTGTCCTGGGCAGGGTCAGGGAGCAAAAGATTGGGCCCAGGTCAGTCCCGTGGGGGTGGTTGTGTACTAGTTACTATTAAATGACTTGAGTGTTTCTTTAACTTGAATATTAGAAATGTGTGTTGGAGAGCGAGTTCTGCCAGGGATAGCCCCTTCTCACAGTGCTGTCCCAAGGGCAGGTCCAAGGCCACCCTCCACCTAAGGACCTTCAGTGTACCGGCTTTTCCCTTTACTCCACTGGAGGGGGTTTTCTCAGGAGAACAGAACAGGGAAGGAAAATGTAAAGATTCTCAGAGGGCCTTGGAACTCTCACATGGGAGCCACCTTGCTCTGCTAACACTCTCCAAGCCTAGGGTCCAAAAGAACAGGCTGAAGCCCTCTGTGGTTGGTGTTGCAAGCCCCTTTGACTGTCTATAGATCACACTATAAAACGGAAATAGAGCAGCTGTCCAATGTCCGAGGTGTGCTGGGGGACACCCTATGTCTGAGGTGTGCTGGGGGACACCCTATGTCTGAGGTGTGCTGGGGGACACCCAATGTCTGAGGTGTGCTGGGGGACACCCTATGTCTGAGGTGTGCTGGGGGACACCCTATGTCTGAGGTGTGCTGGGGGCTGCTAGGGCTGCTGTTGACTATGGTAGCACGGAACAAAGTTAACTTTGGGAGATCCTGGCCAGAGCTGTGGACAGAAAGTGCCCGGCTCAGGTGTTCATGAAGAGGACAAGCTGGGCACTCGGGTCTTCAGGAAGAAGACCCTGGAACGGGCAAGAGTAGGAGGGAGTCTCTGGGATGTGCGTCATGCCACACCAAGGCGCATCAGAAGCAGGACCCCTGCCTGTGCCCAGAGCTGGCCCACTCCTGTGTCCAGAGCTGGCCCACTCTTCACACTTAGGCCTTACATCCTGGCTGTTCCTATAGCCCAGCTACTAGGACAGTCTGGAAACTTCTTCCCTGTGGGTCTCTTTTTGGCACCTCACTTGGTATGGGTTGGGGCAACCAAAGGCTTCCTAACCATGGGGACATTCCAGAGTTGTAGCCCAAGTCCCAGGCTCAGCCATTCCAGGTGGATCAGGATTGCAAGCCTGAAACAGGTTGGGATCCTGGTCGGTCCCTGTCTGCCTCGCCCCAAGGCCTGCAGGAAGGAGTGAGGGCCTCTGGTAGAATGTGCACATAGACACTGGGGGTGTGGGGAAGGGGCTCCAGCTAGCTCTCTCCCAGCTCCCCCAGCTCCCGGTGCCCTGTCCTTTGCTCCCCTCCCCCTTTAATTAATTCTGGGTGAGCAGCCTGGCTTTATTGTGCGAGGAGCTGGGTCTCACTGTGGGAAAAGTCACACCTTCTGAGCAGCTTCTGATGCCATGCAAATGAAGAGACCGTCCAGGAAACGCTTTCATCTGCACGGTCGCCTGTCCAGCCCCCAGCCCAGTAATTACCCACATTTCATTTGTTTGAGAGCAATTCCTGGGGAAAACCACGGGGTAGGAGGGAGTCTAGAGGGTGATGGAATGTCAGGCTCTCCGCCTGTGATCCCAGCTACAAAGTGAGGCCTGGCTGGGCCAAGGGTGGTCGGTGGTTAGGCCAAAGCTAAGCCTCTGGGCTCAGAGCACCTGAGTCTTGAGAGGTACCACTGGAACCGAAACTGTTTGCTTCTAGGTGGAAGAGGCGAGCGCGTAGAGGGTCAGACCTGCCTTCTACAGAGGGAAGAGATGTCCTCAGGGGAGAGGCCACAGGGGTGGGCAGCAGGGTGGGAATCTGCTGAGGCTGCCTGCCGCTTTCCCCCAGGCCACGGACCCATGGGAGCTGAGCACAGAGCAGTAGGACGAAGCCAGGCTGGGGCACCCACCGATTTGTTTATCTTTGAGTTGCTGCCTCCACAGAGCCCTCACTAATGGGGTTTTACAGCCCACTCAAGCTGCAACTGGCCAAGAATCAATCATTACCACACTTAGTGGTTTGATAGTTAACGGCCTGAACTGAAGCCAAACTGCTTGTTAACTGTGATAGCAACTGATTTCGGGGTTATTGCCGGCCCGATATGCTCAGCCATTTATTTGGGGGGAAACAGGCAGGGCGCTGTGGCAAGGCTTAGAAAAGGGAGAAATCCTGGGCTGCGCACAGCCAAAAGGCAGATCACTCTGCCCCGGGTTAGCTACAAGGGTCTGAGGAAGGGCTGAGATCTGTGTGGAGCCTAAACCAGCCTGAGGGTTGTGCGTGGCCTCTCTGCTCCAGGTGCTGCCTTGACCCTTCTCTCTACACGTGTCCTTTTTTTTTTTTTTTTTTTTTTTTTTTAGTGGGGTTTCATGTAACCTGGGCTGGCATCAGCCTCATGGAGCAGCTTCCTGATGCTCACCCATGTGCCTCTCAAGCATTGTATCTTTAGTGTGCTCCCACGGCGCCCTCACAGGGACAGCCCCCACATGGAGAAGTGCAGCTTAGTGGCCAGACTTCTACTCAGCAGGTGGGGATGGACCCAGAGTCATGCCAAGTCTCACTCAGAAACTTGCTTTTCATTCAAAGTCACCGAAGAAGACCCATCCCAGGTCTTGGCCGGAAGGAAGGAAGGAGCACTCACTGCTCCCACAACAACATGAACACCACACATTCTAGAACGCTGCTGAGGCAAAGCACCTTAGGGCTTCTCCACTGTCTCCAAGATGGCTCAGCAGGCCACACAGGGTGCTAGAACATTTCCAGGTCTTGAGGACTGGTAGATCTCATCCTGCGTGCCTATTATATGCCCAACTCTTTTCTGGGCAAAGGGGATAGAGCAGGGGGGAAACCCAAAAGGAAAATTCCCATGGCATTGTGCTCACCGTCTAGAGGGAGGCCGGAGGGAGCACCACGGACAGGACAGAGTATCAGACACAATTTCAGAGTGTGAAGAGTGGCGACTGGCGTAAACAGCATGATCAAAGGGAACCTCGCTGATGACTCGGGTTTGAACAGATACCTGTTGGGGCGAGGCTCTCAGATGGGGGAGGGGCACCCAGGTAGAAGAGCAGCTAATTCAAAAAGTAGGGAAGAGACCCCAGGAGAGCAGGGTGGCTAGAACACAGGTTAGGGAAGACGGAGGGAGGGGGCGTGTGTGTGAGGGGCTGCTGGAGGGGGCCAGAACTCGCGTCGGAAGGCGGATCAGGCAAGGCTTGATTGGAAGGGTTTCAGCTCTGCCTCCGTGAGGTGGTACCCCGTTGTGAGGTTAGAGCCGCAGAGTGACGCGATGTGAAGGCGGGTTTTAACAAGATTGCTTTGGCTGCTGTGCTAAGAATAGACAGTGGGGGGCAAGGGAGGCAGAGCTACAAAGCGGCAGGGAGAAGCTAAGTGATTGGTAATAGTGGATTGGGAGAGGCGAGAAGCCATTGGAATTTAGTGGGATTTTTGCGGGGGGGGGAGGGGCAGGTAGAGACAGCAGGATCTGCAGGTGGATTTGGATGTGGTTTGGGTAGGAAGACAAGGTAGCTAAACGTGCCTGAAGGCTTGAGCAACAGAAAGAGTTGGAGGTGCCATTTGCTGAAAAGATCCCAGTTGGGGCCAGTTTACAGGGAAGATTGGGAGTCTGGGTTTACAGGGAAGATTGGGAGTTTGAGTTTATAGGGAGGGTTGGGAGTCTGAGTTTGGACTCGGGAAGTTTGAGCTGATTCAGTGTTCCAGAGGAAGGCGTGAGTGGGCAGCTGCTTGAGTCTGGAATTCCTGGGTGAGGTCTCGTCCTTGTGCTGAACACGCATAGGATGTGCAAAGTCCGAGGGAGTGGAGGCTGAGACAGCGAGGCGCTCCATGCTGGAGTCTCAGGCCTCAGTGGTTTCTCATTTGGAGGGGAGAGGGGACAGGGACAAAGAAAGATGGAGGAAGCGTGTGGCCCAAGGGTGGTAGGAACCCCAGAAGACTGCATCTCCAGGAGAAGCAGGAGAAGAGCAGCATTAGAGGCTGCAGTTGTTAGTGAGGTTAGGCGTTCTATTGTCTGTCTGTCTCCTCTACCCCTACCAAACCCAGAGCCAAGAGTGGCCCAAAACCAGAACTGCTTTGTCTGGTCCAACAGAGTTCTGCCTCACTTGGGTCCTTCCAGAACATCTTCTCAGACAGTCCAAACGATGCCCTACTTATCAGTGGCTGCTACCCTGTTCCAAGCCACCTCTACCTCTTTTGTCTTACCATGTAAGGAGACTTACCACATAGACCAAGCTGGCCTTGAACTCACAGAGACCCTCCTGTCGCTGTCTCTGCCTCCCAAGTGCTGGGATTAAAGGCAAATGCCACCATATCTGGCCGGCACCTTATTGTTTTATTTTGAGACAGGGCCTCTGGCTGAACCTGGAACTTGCTGTTTTAGATAGACTAGCTGATCACTGAGCTCCCTGGATCTACTTGTCCCTGCCACCCCCCCCCCCAGTGCTGGGTGCCAGGGTTGTAGGTGTGTATCGCTGTAGCTGGCTTCTACCTGGGTGCTGGGGATCTGAACAGCGATCACTTTACTCTCTGAACGCCCCCCTCCCCTGGCCTCCATCCTCGGTTCTTACTTAGGGACAGCCTTTGCACACAGCTGCTCTCTGGACTCTCTCGTCATCCCTCCAGTTCCCTACCATCTCCTCTGCACTCAGGCACTGGAATTTTCAAAACCCACATCTGATTGTATTATTCCCACCCTACCTACCCTGGGACTCC